CCAAGGAAAACGATTAAGGCGAATTTGTCGAATGACATGAGAGGCCTCGCATTCCCTACATATCACACCATTGCTGCAGTCAAAAAGATCTGTCTTGTAAGGCGATTCGCACTTCCAGCACACTTTTTTCGTCTCCTATAAAGGGAGAACGGCTTTTTTCGTAAATTCTGGATAAATTTTGTTATTCTTACTTTTAATTTAAGCTCAGCGTCGGAAGTATCACTCTTGTAGAATCGCCGCAACAGATCTAGCTGATCAGACTCGTCAGAACGGGTAGCCTAAAACAGTTGGATGGAATGAAGGTGGGTAAAGGTGTGACAAATACTACTTACAGATGTCGTAAGCATTGCACTATTGACATTTTGCATAAAATTGGTTTTGTAAGCTGTGAACCTAGGAGGCTTCTGTGCAGGGATACTGTAAAATGTCTTATATTATATCTTAGCATGTGAAAAAAAGGATTGAAGAAAAACTAACGCCCGGTCTAGACGAAATATAAATTCTATCGCATCGTCGAACAATGAGGGGAAGTTCCTTCGTGTTTCGAGCATTTTTACAAAAGCGTTTTTGCTGTGCTTAGCTGTGTATCGAGCATTTGTATTAATTCTTACTCTAAATAAAGCTATTTAAAATATCAGTGTGGGGACGTTTACTTTACTTGCTTCTTACCTGAGAAGTCCCATATCTCTCATAACCTCAAAAAAGAGGACAAATCTTGGATTTATCGATCTTTTACTAGCAACTGACACCAGCTGTGGTCCAAACCAATGTACAGTGCAGTAGTGAGGAGCTAACAGAGGGATCTGAACACTTTCCTCAGTAATTTTCAGAAGAAATATAAGTAATTAATGAACTTTACTTCTTCCTGTAGATCGAAAGCATCCAAATTGTTTAGTTTAACATCAATGATTTCAAATATACAGGGGGCATTGGTAGCGGAGGAAATATCCGTCACATCAGAAGGTTTTAGGGCGACAATCTATGAAAACTTACACAATTTCAAATAAAATGAATTATTTCTAGCAATACCTCAAAGGACGAAGTCACTTCGGACTTGCTGCTAGAACTTTTCATTGTACAAGAGGAGGCTGATGGTTGATTGAGTGTCAGAAAATCTCCAAGAGTTAGCTGGCTGAAAGGTAAGACTTATCTCACGTTCAAGTTATAGGTTTAAGAAAATAACTGCTCACTGCGAATTTTCTTCATCCACGCTAGTGTCTTGCTCTTCTTTCTCGCTTTTCTTCCCATGCCAGTCGTAAGGAAGCAATTCAGGTACATAACTGATTTTCTTTAACCTTCTCTTGGCAGCTGATTTGATTACTCCTTTAATCCCTATAACCTTGAGATGTCGAAAAGGTGATAAATTTTAGAACTAAGTGTTACTTACCTATCCTATACTCTCTTGAGTTGAATTCTCTAACAGTAGGTGGACATATGATATTCATATGTATTCTGGCAGGTTCCACCTCATCTTTGTCTATCCTTCTTTTCTCTCTGAGTTGATTCGTGTAGTATCGGAGCTAAACAGGTTTATGCGAAGAATTATGCGAATTTTTTGAATTGAAGCTCCTACCGATTGTTTCCTTCCAGCAGCAGAAATTGTGGTAATTGCACAGTCG